GTGCGAGGCAGACTTGGTTCTGGTCCCACACAGTCCTTGGTGGGAACCAGGTGGTGAGAACCTAAATAAAGAACTCCTAGACATCTTTTCATAATAAATGCCTTTTAAGGTTTAAAACTGGTTGCCTTGTGTCATGTTCTCACTCATGTTACGGCTTTGAGAGCCGGGGTCCTAACAGCAATATTTCATTTAAAAACTGTACTTTTGAGATTAAACAAATGTTCAGAATTATTTTCAATAGATTACAAGTTAAAAGAGGTGTGGGCATTTCTCTTTTTTGTATCGAAAAAAATATCAAACCGTGAGACTAAAGCAGAGATTCTTTAACTGGGGTCCCAGGACCCCCAAGGGTCCACAACTTTAAGTTTTGGGGGTCCTCAAAATTTTTCAATAAATTGTTAATTTGGTTTTTATTTTAAAAAATGCATACGTGGAACAATGCTCTAATAAAACAAACATACTAAACCAAAGAAGAAATATTACCATGGCATTTAGGGGTTAAAATCAACAGTAAACTATTTTGCATTAACAGTATAGGGTTTATGAGGGGGTCCCTGGAAATTTTTCACCCTTGTAAGGGGTCCCCAGACCTAAAAAGTTGGAGAACCCCTGGACTAAGGTATCAAACCGAACCAAATCGGGATCTTTCTGTATCGTTGCACCGAACCTAATCGGGAATTTTCTGTATCATTGCACCCCTAAAATATACACACATTCATACAGTATGTGTGTATGATTAGTCTCTATAGATGATTGTATATGTTAGCTTTGTAGAGACCTAATAAAGTGCTGTGTCAGTAGGTAAATGAGGACACAGATTGTAGTGTGAACTGCTTTGAGTATCCTAGTTGGGTAGAAAGGTGCTATACAAGTACAATCCATTTACCATTTACTATGAATGTCTAGACATAACGCCTGCAACCACACAAAAACAAAAACAGAATAAAAAGTGTACATTTTAAAAATAACATTGTCATTTTCCTGTAAATAAAAGCTYATAATGTATTTACATCATGAGACAGAGGACAATGAGACATATGTTAAATCTTATTACTGTTGGGCTGATTTATTTCACCAAAGATCAACACGATGGAAGAATCCAAATCAAAACAAGTTCTCCTCAATATTCAGCTCTTTTACTATGATTGTTCAGGGGAGGATGAGGAGCTACAGATCTTCATTTACAMACAATTATAGTTTTATTTTATGTTCGAACACTCACCCATCTGTCTGAACTCCTGATTGACCAGCTGCAGCCAGGCAACATCCAGGTCATCCAGGTCGTAGCAGCTGTAAAGCTGAGAGCGAGGAGGCGGAGCTTCTCCCTCCTTCACCTGCCTGCTGGTGGAAAGGCCACCCGTCGACTCCGGCAGCAGCCTGAAACAAAAACAAGATTATTATTATTATTACTATTATTATTGCAACACTGAAATTTTAAGAGATAACATGTAAGGTGAAAGAGGAAAAAAGATAAAATTGTTTGCTAAGCATCAGTTTTTCTTTCTCTTTTCAAATTGTATTCCCTTTTTCTTATTTATTTATCACCATCTTTCATTCTTCATCATATTATTTCTGCTTATTTCCTTCATCCCTTATTTCAATCTTGTACTTTTATCTACTTGCTTCCTCAGTTTTTTTGTTTGATTATTTTTGTTGCKTTCTCCCTTCCTTTCTCAAGTACTTGAAAAAAAAAACACAAAGTAAAAGTAAAAGTACCTTAACAGAAAATGACTGGTAAAAATGAAAAGTACTTCAGTAAAAGTCATAAAAGTGCTCACAATCAGGAAAGTAAACAATGAAGTACTTTACTAAACGGTGTTGAGTAAGTTGCTTTGCATTTATCAAGTATCATTTCCATATTTTGAATGWAACAAAATTTAATTTGAAGTTACGATTTAAAAAAAAATTTGTAAAACTACAGATACTCAAAATCTACTTAAGTACTGTAACAAATTATGCATAATTAATCAAAGTACACTCAAGTGTAGAGGAGAATCTACCACCAGCTCTTCAATCCACTAGTAACATCATTCTTTACAAAAAACATTTAAAAATGATTAATTTCAAACGWCATGTGATTTTAATTGTTTTTATAGGTTTGTGTTGTTTTAGACTTATTTATTCTTGCTTGATATTAATTCTATGTCGTCAAAGAGGAGGTGGTCTGATCTCTAGGGATTTAACCTCTCCTGCACTTCTCACTTTATGTCTTATGTTTTTTCTGTATGTGTAAATAGACAAAATAAATAAAAAATGTAATTCTTTACCATACACCCCTGCTTTTAAACTGTAACTCTTCAAAGAGCTTCTTACACACAAACTGTAGATGTTTTAACACCCATTTGTTTTTCTTCCACAGATACATTCTGACCTCAGAGTCCAGAAAAAAAACTCAGAGTTTGACCCCCCCAAAAATGAAAAAGGTTTTAGAGACACTAAAAAAGAAAGCCCAAGGTGACAGGGAGCAGTAACGGGAAGCTTCTCCAGCCGATGTCTGGTCTCTGGAGCCTGGGGGTCCAAAGGTTTCAGCCAACAACAGCAGGAAATGAGGTCAGAAACTCTGTTCAATCCACTGGGACCCAATAAAGAGAGGAAACATCCTCATAGAAGCACCCAAACAGGCCCTCAGCACACATCTGGACGCATAAACAGATGCATGTAGAAAACACGAACAGAGAAACGCCACACCCACACCTCTGTATTTCACAGCGCTACACAACCATGCCCCGATCGCTAACATGAGTCACGATGTAGATGTCTTTCAGAAGTTGGCATTAGTTGTCTAAAACGTCATAGTGTGCCAGGGCCTTTAGACTCAAGGATTTTTGCCAACTTATGAAGAGTTTGTTTAACACTGAAGATACTGAAGATGGAATTTAAAAAAAAATCTACTGGAATCTTTTGGACCTACAGTATACTCTAATGCTAACAATTAGATTAAATATATAGCCGATACGAGTAATTTAGTCATAACAAAATTACTGTAAGTCCGCATAGGTTGTTATAGTGTGACTGAGCCTTAAGATCAACTTGTTTAGAAAGAAATTCTAACAGTTTTTGTCGAATTATCAAGTGATTTAGGAAATTGTTTTCAAGAAAATGAGCTCAAAAAAGTACTGTATTTATTCATGTATAATACGATCTCATGTATAATACGAT